ATATATATATATATATATATATATATATATAAACATTATTTCATCCATCCATTTAATGCTTTTCTTAATAACTACATAAACTATGATTATGTTACTATATTATAATTTCAGTAATAACAATCTTTGTAACACGTTTTTTCAGATTTCGCTGAGGATGGAATAAGTTATTCCAATTGTTCAAGCCTTGTAAATAAAATGTTTTATGTTTTGTCAACCATCTTCCTCTTCATTATTAAACTTTAGTTTCCCCATCATGAATCCATTGCTAATGTCATGAGGTTTTTAGTGACTTACATTCAAAATAAAATTAACCTACTTTTTGTTTACATTATACCAATTAGTATAGCACAAAATCATGGCTAATCATCAATATTTTAATAATATACAAGTTTTAAGATCTTAATTTTATAAGGCAATATTTACAAAATTCCTAAATTTACCCTAACGTGAGAAATGTGACATTTTTTTTCTATAGGCATCCCATCTTCTCTAATTTATTCCAATAAGTATGAAATTTAACACAAATTACTCACTATAAAATAGTCATCATTCAGGTAAACCATAATTTTTATAACCTTCAATCCTGTTTGATTACAAAGCATTCAAATAGAAAATCAGACCCCTCTTGCCACACATACCTGTCATGTCCTCTCTTTCAGGATATATTAATAGTTTTGTCTCATGTTTAATATTATATTATTTATAACCAATAGAAAGCTAAGGTTTCTATCATATGATGTATTATATTACATTATGTTCTGATCAGATAATTGTCAATTTCTCTTGTAGTACATGTTTGATTCCCATGGGAATGGTAACGACCAGCTTGGATGAATTTGTAACGTCTCTTGTCACATGGTTAGAAACCATGAAAAATTGTGATAGTTATGGGACATTGTCTACTTTTTGCATGTTAATATTCTGTTCTTTAGTGCATTATTTAATTAAATACAAATTATTTAATGCATTACTACCATTAGTATAAAAAAAGTAGGGTTAAGAGTCATTGAAAGTCAACACCCAAAAAAAACTCTGGGTAAGTACTTTATTTTTTGTTTTTCATGTGTATTCATTACTTGTTATTATAAAAGTAACTAAAACGTAAAAATAGGAATATCTTTAGGTTAGTGAAAGTTAAATTAGGTAAAATAAATAATAATAATAACATAATAAAAATGTTTCAGGAGGCATTCACTCAAGCAGCTCGTGGATAATCTAATTCAATAGCATAATGCAAGCCCCATATTACAACTTATAATGCCACAAATAATATTTAGATATGGTTCAAAGGCAATAAAACAGTAAAAGTTAAGTATAAATAGATGTATACTGTTACATGTTTAAAGCTACTCAGGATAAACGAATGTAGTTTCATGTCACAATTTGAAGTCATTCTAGAAAGAAGAAAAGGGTAATTTAGATTTATTTTGATTTTTTTTTTTTGGTGGTTACAGGGTCGGTCAAATTTACCAGCCTTGTATTGAGTTAGGGTAGAGAAAATAATAGATAAAACAAAGTTTTATTCAAAACAAACGTTTGAAATCTATTTAGGAGGTTTTAGAGATTATGCAAATGAAATTTGAGATTTTTGAGATGAAGAAAAGCATTATTAATCTTAACATGAAAATCACTTTGCACTACTCAAAAAAAGAACTCAATGTATTCACGGACAAATTTTTTAAAGTGTATTAAAAATACTTCACTAAAAAATTAGATTTTTTGTATGTGAAAGACTTATAACGTTTACTGAAAATCTGCCAAATGTTGTGAAGATATAGATACTATATTAAAAATTTGTAGTATCAAAATTATAATGACTTAAACGAGTACAAAGTGGTCACATGGTTGGTCAATTTGAGAGTTAAGCACCTCCAATATATATAGCACCAGCCATTAAAGGTGTAATAAAATATTCAGTACAGGCTAAACAGACCAATTATTGTTAAAAACCTACAATATATAATAAAGCTTTACAGGTGTAGTAAATATTAACTACAGGGTAAACAAACCAAATATTGTTAAACATCTCCAATGTATAGTAACAGCTGTTATAAGTATAACAAGATGTTCTATAGGTAACAATTCCTGATAGAAGGTAACATATGTGAGAGAAATGCAATAGTATTCTAGAAACTGCACATATACAATTAAAAATTATTCAAAGATGAATGATATACATATAACAACTGCTACAGATATTTTAAAGATGTGTAATATATATAATAACTGCTACAGATATTTTAAAGCTGTATGATATATAACTGCTACAGATATTTTAAAGATGTGTAATATATATAAAAACTGCTAGATATTTTAAAGCTGTATGATATATAACTGCTACAGATATTTTAAAGATGTGTGATACGTATATAACAACTGCTACAGATGTTTTAAAGATGTGTGATATATACGTAACTGCTACAGATGTTTTAAAGATGTGTGATATATACGTAACTGTTACAGATGTTTTAAAGATGTGTGATATATACGTAACTGCTACAGATATTTTAAAGATGTGTGATATATACATAACTGCTACAGATATTTTATCATCATATTGAGATTAGAGATGTAATGAACTTACTAACAACCCCACAGCTGTTAAAGAAACATTGAGCTCTTGATTCTGTGAACCAAACTTTGCAGCTGTATCTGCACAGAGCTGAAGGCAAGTACAGGGCATGATGGGGAGGAAGTCAGCTACAACAAGTTGAAGGCACTGGAAAGCTGAGCGAATCAGTGACTCTCTGAATGGTACAAAAATGGCACAATATTTATGTAGTATTTGTTTTTATTTACTTTACATAGAAGTATTTTTTTACAGCATTTAATTCTCCTAGGATTAAATTACTAAAGAAATTCAATATGATCAGTGTACATCAAGCAAAATATTTTTTAGTTGTATAAATGCCCTTTTTTCAAACTTTGTTAATTTTTCACAATGTTTATGGAATTAAGTTCTTCATAATATAAATCTCCCATAACCTTATAACATATGTAATCAAGTGTTAACTACAAAAAACTAAAACTGTTTATTAAAAAAAGTAAATTTTGATACTATTTGAAGAGTGTTGCATTATTTCATTGACACTGAGTATTACATTTTTATTAATTGATGGCTCTGAAAAAGAACAGTTTTGCAGTATATTGTGTATATCACTTATTTTTAAAACCTTCTTCAGAGGAAGGCCATTGTGCAATACATTGTACAAACTGTATATTAAATATTTTGTACGATACTGTACAAACAGTGCATAGATACAATGAAATTTGGATTAAAATTTTGATAAACTTTACTTTGTCAGTAACAATATAATATAATGTAAAACAAATTCATAGGAAAAAACAGAAACAATGAATAAAGTATATATCATATGTTTGAAAGAACTTTGATAATCAATAAGAAATCTATAAGATTGTGTTACATAGCAGTAAAACAATTCAATATATGGATTAAATCAGTAAAAATAAAAATAACAAATGCAACCTGTTCTACATCTTTTTTCTATTATTTTTTTATTATTATTTAAAAATTTTATTTATGCATTCTTGAAATAAGTCAATGACTTAAAGCAACAGTATTTATACTGTTATTGTTGAGAAGAATGTATCATAAACCACAGTGAAGAGAAAGGCATGTTAAGACAAGGGTATCTAAACCTATAACATCATCACTATACAACTATATATTATCAAGGCATTAAAAATTTCCAAGTGAGGTATATTATACAAATTCTGATAGATTGTATCTAAGTGTGCATATACAAAATGGATAAACACTGGATGATGAGAAAGATGATACTGTGTTTAATATGTATCTACAAACAGGATTAACAATTGAAAATGATGAGACTGTACTTAATTGTGTATCTACAAACAGATATTTGATGATGAGAAAGTTGATACTGTACTAAAAACTGTATCTACAGACAGGGTAAATACTTGATAAGAAATATGAGATTGTACTTAATGTGAATCTACAAACATGACAAACACCTTGTTGATACTGTCCTTACATCTGTATCTACAGACAGGATAAACACTTGATGATGAGAAAGATGAGACTGTACTAAATGTGAATCTACAAACATGACAAACACCTTGTTGATACTGTCCTTACATCTGTATCTACAGACAGGATAAACACTTGATGATGAGAAAGATGAGACTGTACTTAATGTGAATCTACAAACATGACAAACACCTTGTTGATACTGTCCTTACATCTGTATCTACAGACAGGGTAAATACCTGATAAGAAATATGAGATTGTACTTAATGTGAATCTACAAACAAGATATACACTTGATGGTAGTATAGGTGATACTGCACTAAATGTATATCTACAAACAAGATGTACACTTGATGGTAGTATAGGTGATACTGTACTAAATGCGTATCTACAAACAAGATATACACTTGATGGTAGTATAGGTGATACTGTACTAAATGTGTATCTACAAACAAGATATACACTTGATGGTAGTATAGGTGATACTGTACTAAATGTGTATCTACAAACAAGA